CTCCATGGAATGGGCTGGCTGAGAAATAAAAGCTAAGAAAAAATAAAAGCCATAAAATGGCTAAAAACCACAAAACACAGAAAGTAGTTTCAAAAGCAGGGGCAGGACAGGGAAGCTGATCAGACAGGTTGACCTTCTAGACAAAATGAAGCCCTTGCCTGCTTTATGTATATCCGGAAACATCAAAGAGATTCTATGGAATGTTCTTCTCCAAAAAAGGTTAAAGGTGGGCTGTTCAGTTTCTAACAGGTTATGCCTGTCTCCAGAGCTACTGTGAGGAACCTTCCTAGCAGAGGGGAAGGAAAGGTCACATGCATTGGCAATCTGTTGCTGTGGCCTGACTCTCCCTGACTTCATGCTAGAGAAGATCCTCATGTATTTCTCAAATGGCTTCCTGCAAAGGAGTGTACAGCAGCTAGGTGCAGTGGCACACACCTGTAATCCCAGCGGTTTGGGAGGCTGAGGCAGGAGAATTTCGAGTTCAAAGCCAGCCGTAGCAGCTTATCGAGGCACTTAGCAACTCAGTTGAGATCTGTCTCTAAATAAAATACAAAAAAGGGTTGGGGGAAAAACGTGTGGGCAGGTGAGGGGGGAGATGTGACTCAGTGGTTAAGTGCCACAGGTTCAGTCCCCAGAACCAAAAAAAAAAGAGTATACAGCAATGCAGTAAAGTTTATATCTTTTCCAAAATTTTTTAAAATGTATAACAAGAAAGATATGGGATTATAAAGGAAATCAATTATAATAAAACAATTATAAGATATTTTAAAATTTGATTTAGTAATATGTGCTGCTTAAATAAGACCTGGCAGTYGTTATAATAGCTGTTGCAATTTCAAAGTCATGGTGAGCACAAACAGTATCTTAAGCTATGGGCATCAACTTGATATAATATGAAAATAGATGTAATTTCTTTTGGTAGCAGAGTTTACAGATGCTGCTAATACTACYATAACATGTTGCCCAAGATATGGGGACATGGCTATATTTTGGTTAGAGATTTATGAAATAAAGGTATTATTCCCCACCCCCCAACCAAGTTCATAGTCTTTATTTTTCTGTCTGGGTTTGATCATCAGCACTTCCAAGTGCAACAGAACTCTGGTCAGTTGAGTACAGAACAGATCAGACTCAAGCTCTGACACGTGTCTGGCAAGGCATAAATAACCATTATTTCATCAAGTAGCAATTGCTGCTCTACACAAAAAAAATGTGATGATGTGGTGCAATGGGTTATAACTGTGGAAAATCATTTTGATGGAGTGAACCCCAGAGCTGCAGCAGCTGTAGGCACCACCAAAAGGCAGAGCATGCTAGAAAATCAACATCGACATCTTGGCTGTGAGTCTAAAGGCAAGCAAAGGACAGTTCCCTTTATTAAAGATTCATATTAAACAAAGTTTTCTCCTGTCTGGTAGATAATATCTCTTAGTACTTTGACTAAAAATGGATTCCATTCACTTAGCTTATYATCCCTGTATTTTATGATAAACATTTTCAGCAATCTTACCTGTGATTGCTTACTATTTTATGCATTTTTAAAAGTCAGTTTACCTCTGTTTTCTTGTCTTTKTATCTAAAAGAATTACTCGGTGTTGAAGTTGTCATATACCTTGTCAGTAACGATATTGAGACTAAGGGATTCRCAATTGTTATCAGGAAAAATAGGTATTATCATAAGATGCACTGGATCATTTTTTCCATATTCTTCTTGGTACATTATAATTACACATAATAGTGGATTCATTGTTACATATACGTACATGCWCACAATATAACAATATGATTTATCCAATATCATTCCCCAGCATTTCYCGTTTTCCTCTCTCCCTCCCTCCCCCTGGCTCCTTTCCTCTACTCTTCTGATCTTCCTTCAATTTTGATGAGATCCCTCCCCCACCTTTCTTTTCCTTTTTCCTTTCTTGCTTTCACATATAAGAAAAACCATGACCCTTCACTTTCCAAGTTTGGCTTATTTCACATAATGTTCTTAAGTTCCATCCATTTTCCTTCAAATGACATAATTTCATTCTTTATGGCTGAATACAACTCTATTGTTACATATGTCACATTTTCTTTACCCATTCATCCATCGATGGATACCTAGGCTTTATAGTTTGGCTATGGTGAATCGTGCTGTTATAAACGTGATAGGCATGCATTGCTATAGTATATTGACTTTATTCTTTAGGATATATACCAAAGAGTGATATAGCTGGGTCATTTAAGACCCACTGAATTCTTAATTTTCTCAGTGGTGGGCTTTCTTTTAAATATCAGCTTAGGTACAGAGGCACTGACTAAGAGACAAAGAATTCTGTGGTAGGTTTAGTGAAGTAAATAATCTCTAGAAATAAGAAATGTGGGCAGTGTGTTGCAGTTTTTTAAGTGAATAGGCAAGTTTCATGAGCATTTTATGGAGTTTAGTTGGYTCATTCTWTCATTCATTTGATTATATTRAGGACACCATCCAAGAMTGCCACTAGCATTGAGCCAAATGACCTCCATGCTTGCGTCTCTTCTCCATTTTTTTCTTTCCTTCTTCTGGTTCTCCTGTATATCAGTTGCTGCCACTTCCCCTTCTTATGCTGCTTAACAACATTCCTCCCCATCTTGAGCCCCTTTGATCTTCTTTACCTTCTTTTTTACTTCTTTCTATCTCATCAGGAAGAATACCTCATGTATTCCCCTTTGTAGTTCAGAGTTTCCTGTCTTCTAATGGGAAAAAAGGTYTGTGCAACTTTTCCCTAAACTCATTTCTCCTGATTTTAAAAACAACAATAACAAAATGTAATGAGAAAAATGAAGACATGTTTTTCTTCAGACTGGTCARTGTTTCTTTTACCCAGGTGAATCCAGAGTAGAACACGTCTTCACCTAGGCACATAATTGCAAAGATTGGCTGACACGTAACTAAGATTGCCARTGATATTAATTGAAGTGACTCTTGTTTCATTTTTCTCAGCTTTTCAGCGTATAATCAAAACTGTTGAGAAAGTTCATTATTACATTTGTCAGAGGCATCAGGACACAGTAACAGGGAGGTGTACTGATGGCAAGCAGTGGTAGCTGGAGGTTGATACTATTACTACTGCTATCACCACCACCACTGTCTTCTAAGTTGTAGTAGAAACARTCATTAATGTTTACTGAGTGCTTTCTGTGTGATAGATACTTAGGCTAAAACCTCTCTGTGGATTGTTTCACTCAGCCTCTCAAAACTCCAATGGATTATCTTCATTTTTCCAGTCCAAAGGAAACAGATTCTGAGAAGTTTTAACTAAGAAGTTAAAAATCATCTGCCACATGAAATGGACCAAATCATGTTATATACATRTACAAATATATCACAGTGAATCCCACTATTTTTTTTATAGTTTAATGTATTTTAAAAGCAAACTTACAGGAACAGCAGAGAAGACTTAACATTAAAAACATATACTTACATATTGGACAACTCAGAAAAATATAGCGAGTGGATGGAATCTACTGTAAATAAATTTTAGTTGCTATCAATAAGAAATTTACCTGTTTAAAAAAAATCCAAATGCTGGCATTGTCCAGAAAAATTTAACAGTTTTATGTATAATTGTTATAAAGTTGAGCTGCTGAAACTGGTTCACTGAAACATTTTGACTTGCATTAATGCTTTACATTCCCACATTTATATTAAAAATTCACACACAAATGAAAATGGAAAAACAGCCAATACCTGATTTCTGTCCCCTATTTTTCCAGTCGCAAATCATATACTTAGGTACCTTTTGACCCCATGGGAAAAAATCTAATGTTCAAAACTACCAATGACAGGAATAAGAGAAAAAAAAATTTTTTTGAGATTGAAATGTTTCCCATTATAATGAATTCTTAAGYACTTTCTCCAACTGTGGCATTCTAGTTAGACGACTTTTGGCATAATTGTTACACGTTTTGCATGGATAGCACAGAGGTTGGTGTCTTCAMAAAGGCCAAYCAGATAGGCCTCACTTGCCTCCTACAAAGCACCAATAGCTACACTCTGGAAGCGCAGATCTGTTTTAAAGTCCTGAGCAATTTCTCACACCAGATGCTGGAAGGGGAGTTTGCGAATCAGAACTTCTGATAACGTCTAATTTCACCGAGTGCCACAGTACCAGGCCTATAACGATGAAGTTTCTTCACCCCTCCAGTAGAGGATGCACTCTTGTGAGCACCTTTTGTAGCTTGTTGTTTCTTGGGTGCTACACTGGCTGATTTGCAGGCAGTCTGCTTTGTAGGAGCYATGGTAGAGAGACCTCCCTACTTACCCCCTTTCTCCTTCAGGTAGAGGTCGGCGCGCTAGAGGCGGCACTGGYGTTAGAGAGCAATGGGCGGCTACAAACACAATCTGAAACACAATCTGAATTCCACTATTTTGTATAATTATAATGAACCAGTAGAAGAAAATCCCTTGCCCATCTAGATTGCTATTAAATATCAGATGCTAGGAGTTGAGACTAGTTCTTTAACATTTCAGAGCCTATATCCTTAACCTTTATGCTGCATAGTCTCTTACTAGGGAGACTCTGAGAAAACAAAACTAGACACTGAAGCACAGCTGCTTGGGCCAGCTTCAGGGCAGGCAGTGCCACTCCCCCAGTTGCTCCTGTGCCCCATGAGAGAATGCTCTTGACAGTGGTCAATGGTAGACATTAGCAGCGCTGTATCCCAGTTTCCCTATCCAAGAAGTCAGTGAACTGAGAAATACTTTTTGACAGTGAATTCCACCTAGAAAGCTCTGTTTCCTTGATTGGAAAAAGTTACTTAGCCACCAATTTCTGGGAAAAGAAGATATAATGTTAAACTAATTTGTGTTTGTTCAAAAGACAATGAATTTTAAAATCTAAGTCAAGCTCTCATTTTGGTGAGGTGAAATATAAGAATGGGTTATGAAATTATCCCCAAAGCAACAGATGTTCAATCACTTTTTTACTTTCATGTGTGTGTATGTGTTCCCTSTTTCATCGGGGCTGTTCCTAAAGCTAAGAAGAAACTTCCCAACATGCCTGTCTTCTTGGAAAATTCCTCCTCGTGTCCTAAAATCTTCCCAGTCAGAAGCTGTCCTTGATGTCAGAAATAATGCACTACCCTTTGTGCCACTGCAAACATTTACAGACGAGGAAATGATGATAAAGAGTGCAGGTGAGTACATTTCTCACTTTACCTTGTTACTCCTCTGGTCATGAGTGGGGTCTGCAATATRAAATTACATATGACAGATGAAAGGTGAATTCATTAAGTTTGTGAATGGAGTTTTCTGACTTTTTTTTTTAAACAGTGATATATATCTAAAAGTTAAAAACAACAATAGACTAAAATGCTGTCTGGTTGAAGGGCCCCCAACCTCTGTTCTCTGCTTCCCCAGTTCTTGCCAGAAGCTGCTTTGTTAAAAAGTTTCTTAGAGAGCCTTGGAATGGGCACCTACTGTGGGCAGCTAGTTGTATAAAGGCCAGGGATGCTGCTAAACATCCTGTAGTACACAGGACGACTCCACAACAAAGACTCACCTGCCTCAAAGTGTCCATAGTGCTGAGGTGGAGAAACCTCATTCTGTGTGGCCATGCAGCTATTCAAAGGCCCATGTTAGATGGAGTGTGCTGGCATGGAAAGATCTAGACATGCGTGGGGAGAAGATTGAATGTGTTTCGTATGATTCCTTTGTGTAGAGATATAAGTTGAGAGATAAATGGATAATTCATGTGTCTGTATAGATACAGATGATGTTCAAAGAAAAGTTTTCAGAAAAAAATACATAATAAACATAAAAAYAGTAACCTTTGGGGAGAGGGGTGGGTAGCCAGAACAGGGAATAAGGCTTTCATTTTTCATTTTATGCTTTCTGTATTGTTTATATTTTTTGTATATGTTACTCATTTTTAATGGCATCAAGGATTACAAAGGGAGTTGGAGAATTATACTTTTCTATATTAAAGAAACTTTATAATTTCTGCTTTAAAAGAATAAGTGCACTCACATGCATTTAACTTAAATTAAAAATTAAAGTTTGTCAGCAAACTATCAATGATGATTATAGTTATTATTAAAATGACTACCACTTGAACRTAGACTTAATAGTGATTCTTTTTTCTGCAGTTAAAAAATTCGCACAGGAAGAGATTGCTCCTTTGGTTTCAACCATGGATGAAAATTCAAAAATGGAAAAATCAGTAATACAAGGCTTATTCCAACAAGGGGTATATATTTTATAATTCTTCCAATTTCAAGCTTCTGTAGATACTTTCCAGTGTTAACACTCAATGTGTTTAAATCTTTTAAATTTAGGGACTGTAATGAGCATAATGAACCCTTTGTTTCCTAGCCAAAAATGTCTGTGCTCTCTGTTCATTGGAGATCTTCATTAATATTTTATACTTAAAATTTTTAGTAGTTGAATTAACATTATATATGGAAATATTGTGTTTTTTAAGAAAAAGGTTAGCAGTGAGAGAGTGATTTCTTTAGAGCAGTGGTTCTCACCCAGGAGCAGTTTGGCCTTCCAGGGGGCATGTTGCAGGCATCCAATGTAGTAAGAATAATGCACTGCCCTTTGCACCACTGCAGCACTTTCAAATGAGGAAATGATGATGGAGAGARCAGATCATCAAGTTTTTCGGACTCCAAAGCCTATTTCCTTAACCCTATGTCACAGCATCAAGGGATACTGCTCAGCATCCTGCAATGCRCAGRACAACTGCCGCAGCAACAATAAGATGCCATAGTGAGGGTTCATTCTACCTGAGTCTCCTACGTGTGTGCTCAGCTTAGACACTTAGAAAYGGGTGACATCTGAATTCCATGTTAACCAGGGTAACAGATTTCTAACTTTTTAAAAGTCACTAGACCTTTAGTGAAACAGACAAAAAAGATTAAAATAGAACTACTTTGATTATGGCTAGAAGAGGTTATGAGGGACTCCAAGGAGGACATGGGGACTCCAAGGAGGACATTTTAAAATCACCACACTCACTCCTGATTTCTCCCTTCTCCATAGATGCAAAGTGATTTTTTTTAATACTAAGGATGGCACAGAATTAGTCACTGCTATTCATAGTCATTGTCCTAAATTTCATCTGTCATCCTGTTTGAAAAATAACCTTGCCACTTAGCCATAGAGTTTCATTTCTTCCTATTTTAAAGTGACCAGCTTTTAGTGTTTTTTCCAACTTTGTGTTAGCAAAGAAACTCTTGGGAACATGGAACCTTATGTGGAGCCACACCAGGTCAATCAGAAGTCCAGAACATAAGACAGACAGACTGAATGAATCCGTCACTAGCTAGCTTTCACTGTCGTGGTTTATGACCCTGTAGGCTTCTCTGAAGCCTCTCCTGAGGTGCTAGACCTCAGAGGCCTCATGCTCCTTGTACCCAGCTCCATAAATTGCTTCTGCTTAGAGTAGTTCCAGTTGCCTAACACCTGTTGTCTCAGCTCTTTAGTCACCTGACACCTATTTTCCAGTTGAGAAGTTCATGACTTTTTATAGAGAAGCAGTATCTCCAATGGCTGCTACAAATATTATAGTCAGGTAGCTGTCAGGCCTACTAGTCTCCAGGCATGCCCAGATCCTCAGGTTTTCCTCAGAGAGCATCATTTCTGGTTCTCTCACATTTTAATCATCCCCTTTGTGTTTCTGCCTTCATAGCAGCAAAATCTTTCTTCATCCTGAAACATGACAGCCATAACCCTGACCATACATAACATGGAGTGATTCCCAGAGAGTATAGTGAGAATTGGAGCATTATCATTTATCCATTACCAGCTGTAGGTCTTGATTCACATGTTCACAAGTTCCTATCTGAAATAAAGTCTCTTAAAAATGGAATGTTGGGGCTGGGCTTGTGGCTCAGCAGTAGAGTACTTGCCTACCATGTGCAAGACACTGGGTTAAATCTTCAGCACTACATAAAAATAAATAAATAAAGGTTATGTCCAACTACAACTAAAAATATATATATAATTTTTCAAATATTTATTTTTTAATTTTAGGTTGACACAATCTTTATTTTATATCTATGTGGTGCTGAGGATCGAAYCCAGTGCCTCACGTGTACTAAGGGAGCGCTCTACCACTAAGTCACAACCCCAGCCCTCTAAAATATATATTTTTTTAAAAAGTTAAAAATAAAAATGGAATGAGTGTTACTGAGGAAGATTCATATGTCAGACTYAGGAGTAGTGACTGATCAGTTGGCCTGTATCAAGGTTATTAGAAGTCTGTGGCCAACATTTTGTTGTGTTTATCAGGCACCTGTGCCTGGTCAAATGTGACTCTAGCAAATAGTGCCAAGTATTATCTGCTAGCCATCCTAGACTTGCTAAAATTKCAAGTGGATTGGTCATTCAACCCTTATCTCAGCTGAAAATATCAAGAAACCTGTCTAGAAGAGATTATGCTAAATGAAATTGTAAATGTTTCCCCTTGAGGGCTAGTCGTTTTCTTGTATTTACTTATTATATTCAAAGTGGTATAAAGGGGATAGTGTTGAAAGACCAAAACAACTCCTATAGTTATTAGCAAGAAAGGACATCAGGTTATGTTTATATTTCATAAGATATTTTCTCATTCCTTTCAGTTATTCTTTAGATCTGAGGTGTTCCCCAAAAGCTCATCTTTGAGACAATGCAAGAATGTTCAGAGGTGAAATGGTTATTTTTATG